ATCCAGATCAGAGCTTCCTGGCTCCAACCCATGTCTAAACCGAAATTCCATTTTAAAATGCAGCCTCAAAAGAACTTGACCTTGAATTGTGTGTGGCCAATAGCTTAGAGAGGGAGAAGTAGGCTGTAGCTCTAGCAGCCAGCATCCTTGAGTGCTGTATGTCCTCTCCAAAAGCTTCCCCAACTTCCTGTTCAGGAACCATATTCCTTTGTTAAAGGTTCCTTTACTTTGCCTAATCTCCCAACTTAATTCTTTGTTAAAATTAACACACGCAATCATTAGAAACTGGAAAAATAGTCTGCAGTGCGTAGGGGTGGGTGGAAGCACCCTAATTTTGGAAGCATGTGTGATCACAATGCATAGTTATGTCTCTAATGCTTGTAGACTCCCACTGCAAAGACAACGGGAGGAATATGCACTGATAGGACAGTTGTCAAGGTAACTTCAGTTGTTGTGTGTTTGCATGGCTATCACAATAAACAGACTTGTACAATTAATGGAAATCGCCAGTGCCTCAAATTGGCAAGCTGCTGGCGATGGGTTAGAGAGAAACTATTTCTCTTGTCATAGCAGTTGCACTCTGGAGGCAGGATTTTCTGTACATGTTTACAACATGCTTTGGTCATTAGAAACTCATTTGTTGCTTATATTGGCATGAAAATAGCACCTGGTGAATGATTCTGGATCATGAGTCCTGGAGACCCATATAAGAGGTGTGTCCCATGTAGGGTTAGTGCACAATCTATTCCACTGTACAAGGGGATGGATTAAGCTGCTGATAGATGGTATCGCTGGACCAGAATTTCTCAAGTGTCTCCATCAATCTTGGTTGTATCTAAGCTTCCATTTAAAATACTTTCCAGCCCTGAAGAAAAGTTTACAAAGGAGACCTGCAGATGAGGTGCTGTCATCAGTGTCTGCAGAAGTCATGAACAAAATGCACAAAATGAGATCAAACTAGCTACAGGCATAAAGGGAAACAAGAAGACCTTTTATAAATACATTAAAAGCAAGAGGAAGACCAAGGACAGGGTAGGCCCACTGCTCAGTGAGGAGGGAGAAGCAGTAACAGGAAACTTGGAAATGGCGGAGATGCTCAATGACTTCTTTGTTTCGGTCTTCACCGAGAAGTCTGGAGGTGTGCCTAACGTAGTGAATACAAGCAGAGAGAGGGTAAGTTTAGAAGATAGGATACACAAAGAACAAGTTAAAAATCACTTAGGAAAGTTAGATGTCAGCAAGTCACCAGGTCCTGATGAAATGCATCCCAGGATACTCAAGGAGCTGATAGAGGAGGTATCTGAGCCTTTAGCTATGATCTTTGAAAAATCATGGCAGACAGGGGAGATTCCAGAAGACTGGAAAAGGGCAAATATTGTGCCCATCTATAAAAAGGGGAATAAGAACAACCCAGGAAATTATAGACCGGTCAGTTTAACGTCTGTCCCAGGGAAGATAATGGAGCAGGTAATTAAGGAAATCATATGCAAACACTTGGAAGGTAATAAAGTGATAGGGAATAGCCAGCATGGGTTTGTGAAGAACAAGTCATGCCAAACTAATCTGATAGCTTTCTTTGATAGGATAACGAGCCTTGTGGATAAGGGAGAAGCGGTGGATGTCATATACCTAGACTTTAGTAAGGCATTTGATACGGTCTCGCATGATATTCTTATTGATAAACTAGGCAAATATAACTTAGATAGGGCCACGATAAGGTGGGTGCATAATTGGCTGGATAACCGTAGTCAGAGAGTTGTTGTTAACGGTTCTAAATCCTGCTGGAAAGGGATAACAAGTGGAGTTCCTCAAGGGTCTGTTTTGGGACCCGTACTGTTCAATATCTTCATCAATGATGTAGATATTGGGATAGAGAGTACTCTTATTAAGTTTGCAGATGATACCAAACTGGGTGGGGTTGCAACTTCTTTGGAGGATAGGGACATAATTCAAAATGACCTTAGCAAGTTAGAGAAATGGTCAGAGGTAAACAGGATGAGGTTTAATAAGGAGAAATGCAGAGTGCTCCACTTAGGAAGGAACAATCAGTTCCATACATACAAGATGGGAAGCGACTGTCTAGGAAGGAGCATGGCGGAAAGGGATCTAGGGGTCATAGTGGACCACAAGTTGAATATGAGTCAACAGTGTGATGCTGTTGCAAAAAAAGCAAATATGATTCTAGGTTGTATTAACAGGTGTGTTGTAAGCAAAACTCGTGAAGTCATTCTGCCGCTCTACTCTGCGCTAGTTAGGCCTCAGCTGGAGTACTGTGTCCAGTTCTGGGCGCCACATTTCAAGAAAGATGTGGAGAAATTGGAAAGGGTACAGAGAAGAGCGACAAGAATGATTAAAGGTCTAGAGAGCATGACCTATGAAGCCAGGCTTCATGAACTGGGCTTGTTTAGTTTGGAAAAACGAAGATTAAGGGGGGACATGATAGTGGTTTTCAAATATCTAAAAGGGTGTCACAAGGAGGAAGGAGAAAATTTGTTTCTCTTGGTTTCTGAGGACAGGACAAGGAGTAATGGGCTTAAAGTGCAGCAGGGGAGGTTTAGATTGGACATTAGGAAAACATTCCTAACTGTCAGGGTGGTCAAATATTGGAATAAATTGCCAAGGGAGGTGGTGGAATCTCCCTCTCTGGAGATATTTAAGAACAGGTTAGATAGACATCTGTCAGGGATGGTGTAGACGGAGCTTGGTCCTGCCTTGAGGGCGGGGGGCTGGACTCAATGACCTCTCGAGGTCCCTTCCAGTCCTATGATTCTAAGTCCCAAAACAACTAGCACTTCATTTAAATGTGATGCAAATGCTGAAACCTAACGACATGGCAAATTTCGTTAACTATTTTGCTGCCGAGCAGAGGATCTGAGTTCTGCCCTTTCTGACCAAAGTTCAGTGGGGCCAGGCTAGCGTGTTGGATAGGGACAGTTGCAATGTTATTTTAGCTGCCTGGCAACATGGATTGCATGCTTGATACGTGGCCTGAACAGATAATATAGCTTTGCGTGTAGCTTGCAAGTGCCTCTGCATCCTCTGATGAAAGCTTGTTGTGTAACTTTGCTAGAGCAGTTCTTACTAATTTGACCACAAGGTCTCTCTGGGCTTCCTACCCAACATTGCCCTATTCCTCCACCCCTTTTCTGCAGTGAGAGAAGTACTTCACTTCCTCAACTGCTAACGTACACCCTCCTGGTAATACTCATCTTATCCAGTCATCCCTTCCTGAAACTGAAATTTCTCCAGTAACTTCAATAGCTTCGCTCAGGCCCGGACTGAATAGCCATTCTGCCTTGCCTCACTCTCTGATAATGTGTTTGTGCAAGCAAGCAGTCATTGCAGTGACATTGATGATGGCTCAGAGTGTAAGTGAGAGGAGCGCGGAGCCCATGTAGTCTGTCAGCCGGGATGGTGGGTCCAAAAGACAAGCTGCCTAATAAGCTGTGCTATGAAAGCATTTGAGCACCACTGTTGCAGTTGAAACCATTCCATACATTGTGGGTGTTCAAGAAGCCTTCTCCTGGTTCTTTGTAATGAAAATGCCAGGAGAGTGGTGTCTTCCCTCACCCACCTGCTTTATCCTGTCATCTAGACCGTCCGCTCTGTGGGGCAGAGAATATAATTTGCCGTATATTCATGTGATCTCTAGCATAACGGGGCCGTGGCTTTATTGATGTCTATCTAGATGCTACTGCGGTATAACTGTTAAGACCGATCATTTGAAAAGGTAGAGTAATACAAGAAGCACGAACCGAACAACCTGTGTGTGTTCAGCTAATTTCTGTGGAGTGCGTTGAGAAAATGAAGTATTATCCATGTTTTGGAAATTCAGGTGCCTGCCTGTGCCTGTGTTGGTGGCAGGAGATATTCCTGGTTTGCTGCTTTCCCCCGTCCCTGTCTTACAAGTGAGTCTCAGACAGTCCAAATAAACAGTGGTTTCTCGAAGACCTCTCTATCCCTTACCCCTTTTTTTCCTTCCTGCACCCCCTCTCCTTTCTCCCCTATTTATTTTGGTCCTGGACATCCAACACTCTGGTTATCTGAAGAAGTGGGCTGTGCCCACAAAAGCTCATACCACCATCTACATGTTTTGTTAGTCTTTAAAGTGCTACCAGACTATTTGTTGTTTTTTTAAGCTTTTTTTCAGTGGAGCATTTTGGCCTCTGGGGGTGGTGACCAGCAGGTGGCGCTGCTTCCCAGTGATGCTGAGGGCAAGGGAACCCTTTTTCTTACATGATTTTTTGGGTCTCTAATGCGGATCTTACATTATCCAGGCAAAGCGAGTGTCAGCAACCCCCGTAGCAAGTTAGGGCAGGGAGGAGAAGGTGCCACCGGTCTCAGCAGCAAATTGAGGAGATTTTGAGAGGCGAGGGTGGTGGCTCTTTTTTCTGTTGGAAGAAGTTTGAAACCTCTCATGACTTCCCAGGGTTTTCTTAACTGAACTGTTCATACTCGCATAGCATCACAATGGGCTGTAACCCCGGCTCAGGTGTCCAGGAGCACCCTTGGGAAGGGGCAGCACAGAGGGCTCTTTCCCACAGCTGTTTCCTCCTGTGGCTTTTGCCTCTTCTGGGCTGGGTGCTCTGCGCGGCTTCCTCAGGGCTGCGTGTTTTCCAGAGTGGCTTGGACAAGCTGCGTGCCAGGCCAGAAACCGTAGCTCTCTTCTTCCCCCATGCCAAGAAAAATACAGACTGCTCCTCAGAAGCTGGTTGTGTGTCTGCCCTCAGATGGGGGTGGGGTGGGGTGGGAAGAGGGAGAAAGAACTGGAGGAGATGAACATGAAAAAGGCAAAGTATGGTTGGAAGGAGATCGAAGCTGCCAGAAACAGAGGGGGCTCTGATATAAGTGTAGTGTTAGTGGGATGCGGGCTAGAGAGAACACAGTTGCCTCTACCCTGAGCAGAGCTGCTGCTAGTCAATAAAAATAATCATGTGGCTGCTTAAAAGCTACAGCTCTGGGGCATAAAATTCCTAATGTTGTGTCATTGTGTCCTGCAGATGTTTGTTATTGAGAAGATTGAAGGGATCCACTGCAGCCTACATGAGTTCAGTATCACAGGATCCACCTATACCCCTGAGGGGCAGATGTAAGTACTGACGCCTGGGGAAGACCGGGGGTTTAGCATCTCACTGGTACTGAGCACTGATTAGTCTCTGTGCTAAACTAATTTTTCACAGTGTCAACTAGTAGCTAGTGGACTGGATTGGGATTCAGAACTGGGCTCTACTCCTTGCTTTGCCACTGGCCTGTGAGGTGGCCTTGGGCAACTCATGTCCTCGATCTGTGCCTCAGTTTCCCCATCTGTAAAGTGAGGATAATGATACTGCCCTACTTGATAAAACACTTTGCAATCTACTGAGCAAAAGCTTATTATGATTATTATGATTTATGCAAAGAGCTTTTTGTGTAGCATTATATAGTGAGAAACTAGACTTGCTGATTGTGCTTTGACCCTGTAAATGTGGCCCTGGATGCGGAGTCAATGGGAAAGATGATCTTGTGGCTAACCTGTTGGCCTCAGACTTGGGACCAGTTCCTGGCTCTGCCACAGATTCGCTAGTCAAGTCTCTTCATTTCTCTGATCCTTTGTGTCTCGCCTATTTAGACTGGAAGCTTTTCTTACAATGGATATGTGGGACATTGACCTTAGTCAGGGTCTCCATGTTGAAACAGTTATAGTAACAGTTGGTCCCCACTGTTTCTGCCAGCACGTGGGGCAAAGCTAGCAACATAATGCGTATGCGGGGCTGTTTGTTTCAGAACACAGCTGGGTCAAATGGCTGGTGCAGCAAATTCTCAACAGCCCTGGGTTCTGGTTCTGCCATTGACAGTCCTTTCCCATCTTCGTCCTTCATAGTCCTGGCCTGTAAAATGGATAAGACATTCTTCACAGAGATGTCCTGAAGCTTGGTAAAATCACTGGTATCTCATTAAGACAGCTCCATGGGCTTCCCTATCAAGGTGCCAGTGCAGCCGAGCACATACAAAATTCCATTGACATGCTACAGCAGGGGTAGGCAAAATCAGGCCCGGGGGCCGGATCTGGCCCACCCAGCTGATTGGCAGAGCATGCATACTTACAGCTGCCTTTCCCCCCATCTTGCTCTCTCCTGCAGCTGAGCTGCACCTGCTAGCTGTGTGGGGGGGGGGTGTGCTGAAGTTAGGGTGTCCCCTTGCTCCTGGACCTATCTCTGCAGAGCAGGGGTTGGGGAGAGGGAGACTCACAGCAGAGCTGCTCCAATCTGAAGCATGGATAGTGAGTGACTCAGAGGAGATCCTGTCCTAAGAGGCAGGGCCCTGTTCCTGAGAGTTCCGTGTATACCTCCATCCCCACCCCCAACCCCATCTCTGCCAAGTGCAGGAGGGGAGAGACACAGCAGGAACCCTTTCCCTGTTTTAAAGAGACAGCGCTTGTCTTCTCTCAGAACCTTAAACAGCAGCCAGCACACACACTGTGTGACTGTCTCACACACCCAGTCTGTGCTGCACTGTCTCTGAGACAGACAGACAGACACACACACACACAGGATGTTAAAATGTGTATTTGTGTGCGCATGTAAATGCTGAATTAAGACCCAATGGTGAGGTCCATCATTTTGAGTTTTTACCGCTTTATCTCCATCCTGTGAGCGGCTCATGTCATTCACTAGACTCCTACTCGTCGCATCCTGCTATGCATGGTCTGTGCTCGTTGTAAAACCTGGGAAAGGTTTTCCCATGCAATGCTCTTCGGGCAGCTCACCAGCCCTGATCGGGAATATGGAATGGATCTCCTGGGAATGTTGCCGGGATCCTAGTAATTGCTTAGGAAAACCATTCCCCAAAAGATGGTGTACGCAAGGATGCTCTGAATTTAAACTAGACCTGAAAACTCAGAGCAGACCTCCCACCATCAACCTCAGCCTGGACCATTCTACACGAGAGATCCACTTCCTGGACACCACCGTACAAATCAACAATGGAAAATTAGACACCACTCTCTACAGAAAACCCACCGACTCATACAGTTACCTACATGCATCCAGCTCCCATCCAGAACACACCACACGATCCATCGTCTATAGCCAAGCCCTTCGATACAACCGCATCTGCTCTAACCCCACTGACAGAGACCAGAAGCTTCAGGATCTCTACCAAGCATTTATAAATCTCAACTACCCACCCAGAGAAACAAAAAAGCAAATTGAAAGAGCCAGACGAATACCTAGAAACCATCTACTTCAAGACAGACCCAAGAAAACCAACAATAGAACACCACTTGTCATCACCTACAACCCCCAACTTAAACCTGTCCAACACATTATCAATAAACTACAGCCTATATTGGAACAGGATACCATACTCAAAGAGCCTCTGGGAGACAGACCCATAGTCTCCTATAGACAACCACCTAACCTCAAGATGATTCTTACCAACCACCACAGGACATACCACACTAATACCAACCCTGGTACCTTCCCTTGCAACAAACCCCGTTGCCAGCTTTGTCCACATATTCATTCTGCTGATACCATTATTGGACCTAACCAAGTGAGTTATAAGATCAAGAACACATATTCCTGCGCATCCAGAAATATAATCTACGCTATCATGTGCCGAAAGTGTCCGTCTGCTATGTACATTGGACAAACATCTCAGACACTTCGCCAAAGGATTAATGCCCACAAAACAGATATCAGACAAGATCACAAAGAGAAAACAGTTTCTTGCCACTTTAACCAGAAAGGACACTCTCTAAATGACTTAGCCACCTGCATTCTGCTACAAAGACCTTTTACATCTGCACTTGAAAGGGAATCCTCTGAACTGTCATTCATGTTAAAATTCGACACTTACCAACAAGGACTTAACAAGTCTTTGAACTTTCTCACCCATTACCAAGACAGTTTCCCCAATTATCACCTGTAATACCATTAACTCACAAACATCCCACTCTCCCTACCTTTAATATCAGCAATTCACAGACACTTACCTTCCTTCCTCCCCCTTCCCACCCCCCCGCATCCCCCTTCTGTTCTGCAATGTGATTTGTCCTTTTCATATTTGTTCATTTTTTTAAATTGTATCCTTTGGTCTCCCTGTGACTGAAGTACAGGACTGAGAGTCTCATAACCTGGAACAGGTCTGTTGCTTTTTGACTCAGAAAAGTCACTCAGCCGCTCCGTGTGGCAGCTCCTCGTGTGTGTTGGGGATGTGTTACACTCAGTTCATAGGCTCAGGAATTAATGTTTGTAATTCCACTGAGATCCTTGGCTAGAAGGTTCCAGTGTTGTCTTCAGGTCATCATTATCCAGTCCAAGTCAAGTCTCAAATCACTACAATTCAAGTCTTGAGTTCCTGAAGTCACTTTCGAGTCAAGTCCCAAGTCTAAATTTAAAAAATGTCAAGTCACTTTTGTACAAGCCATCAATATCGGCATTTTCGGACAATTTTTTCACCAAGTTGATTTAACAAAATTAGCAAGTCTCAAGTTGAGTCTCAAGTCACAAACAATGAACCCGAGTCAAGTCTCAAGTCATCGCCTAGGTGACTTATGTTGGACTCGAGTTCAAGTCGTGGGACTTGAGTCAACAACTCTGGAAGGTTCCATAAAAAGTTATGAACCGAATCCTTAGCTAGTGTAACTGACTGTAAATCCAGTAACTTCAAGGAGCTCTGCTGATTTAGACCCATTGAGGATCTGGTCCTGTGTAGCTATCCACCCCTTAAATTGCTGCACCTCTTTGTCTTTTCGTGGCCTGGCATCATCAGAGCATCTATTCTAAGGGGAAACTGCATCTTCCTCTCAATTCTTTCCTGTGCACTGAACTGGCCTGAAATCCCTCCTGTTCCGTCAATAACATATTAGTAATTAAATGCACAAAATCCACCCCCGGTCCTCCTCAGGCTGCCTGGAATTACATACTTTGAGGATCAGCTTTCAAAATAAGAACTCACAGGGACAGGTGCTGTGAGGTTTTCTGGAGTCCTGTGTTTAATGCTGATGAGTCCCCTTTGTGGTTGGTTGGCTCATAGGGAGCAGACTCTTGTCCCACTCCAAAAATAACAGTCCATATGCGTAATAAATGTCTGTGTAGGTAATTCTTGTCCTTCCATTCTCTGTGCAATCAGATCTGTGGGCCTGACTCTTACTTCAATACAAGCCTCTTGTGATTGACGTAATTCTGCTGACCCCAAAAGTGTTGCATGTGATTTGTGCCAGAATGAGAGTGAAGGCATGCAGTCTCCATGAGGGGCGAGAAACCTTAGATGCACCCTAGGCAGACTGTTTGGTCCTGTAGGATTCCTTGTGTTTTACCCACTTCTGGGGAGATAAATGAAGATGAGTCCGCATGAAGGTGGCGTTGAATGAATTTTTAAGCAGTTCAACTTTACGACACATCCACCCACTTCAGTCCAGAGAAGAGAAATATTTCTTCATGTACCACTAGTCTTCCTAGTGTCCCCAACTGTGCTCAGAGCTCCATTGTGCTAGGTGCAATATATGCAGACAGTCCATGCCCCAAAGAGCTTACAGTCTAGCCAGAGAAGGGGCAGGATAGAGGAAATGTTAATTACCCCCATTTGGTAATTGGAGGAGGGGGTGTAATTACACCAAGTAAGTGACTTGTCCAGAGCCCACAAGGAGTCTGTAGCCGAGCTAGGATCAGAACCGGGGTCTCCTCAGTCCCAGTTTGCCTCATCTACCAACCCTGTCAGACAACCTAGCAAACAATCATGCTACGAACGTGGCTTCATAGTGTGCATCTCCATGGGGTGTGTAAGTTCAATGACCGATGAAAACCAAGGCGTAGTAAGCTTGGGAGAGGTTTATTTTCTGTCTAAGGATTATTTTTCTTATACATTTCAGATGCGCCATGGAACTTATTGAGGCGGGGCATTCATTGTATTTAATTCTTTTAGCTGTTGCCACTCATAGAGCTCAAAGCATTGTACAAAGGAGAGCATGAATCCTTATCCCCATTTTATTGACAGGGGAAGTGACTTGCCCTGGGTGTTGCAGGAAGTCTGTGGCAGAGGTGAGAATAGAACACTCAGTCCAGAACTGCCCCCCTCCCCGCCTCTTCCCCCGGACCACGCTGTGTCTCAGAAGGGATTCTAGCCTTTCCAGCTCCAATTTCTATTTGAAGTTTTCTTAATAGCTTTTCAAAAATCCTGCATATCAACAACCACCTTTTCTTTCCTAGATTCCCTTCCCCGCCGCCTTCTGAACGGAGGGCAGCCCCTGGTCATCACTGGCCGGGAGAACTGCTGCTTCCGCCCTCCCTGCAGCCTGTATTTAAACTGGCCAGCTTTTTGTCCCTATGAAAATAGGCTTTTCCAGCGCTTTTGGCCCTGGCCGGCTTTCCACTCTCAAGCCGTAACAAGGACTCCAGAATGTTCTTTCCATTAGGAAGGCGCAATGGAATAAACTGATAATAATGAATGTCTGACAAATTTATTTTTCCAGTTAAAGAATGACCCGCTGAGCTTATACAGCCCTAACCTGCAGTTACCTCTGCTTGAGTTAGGATAATCTTCCTGTTTCCCCTGCAGACGGCGGCTGTCCGTTCGCCATAAAGCGGCAGCCTGCTCAAACAAACAAGAAATGGCATTTGGTTCCTTAAATGGTGATCGTGCAGAGCTGTGACTGATGCCTTTCCTCTGCTGGCTTTGACTCTCATGTATGGCCGCAGCCCAGGTCATTCCAGAAGTTCAGGGCCCTAGCGGTCAAGACGCTCGATTTTTCTTTGGAGAATGTTTGCAAGCGGTGGCCGTGGGACGCCTGTGTGAAATGGGCCGGGGGCTTCTCTAGCAGCTTGCCACCCGAATGAATAACACCCAGCTCTGACCCAGTGCATTGTCAGTTGATCTCAAAAGCCCTTTGCAAAGAAGGGCAGGAGCATTAGCTCCACTGAGTGGGATCTTTGCTTGCAGTCTTGGGCAGAGAATTTTGTGACGGGATTAGCACGGAGTCTAATGGAACTAGCCTTTTCTAACTCAGAGCCTTTCAGCCAGGGAGGCTGCCGTACGTTAACCATTGCCTTTCAGCAGTGTTAACTCAGTGCTATGGGTGGGGAAACTGAGGCACAAACAAGTGACATGCCCAAATTCTCTGAGCCTGAGTAATGTATGAAAGCGACGTAACTCCAGGCTGATGATGAATCTTAGGAGAGATGCCAATGGGATAAAGAATGCTACAGCCACATACTAGGAAAGAGAAGGACACTCCATTGTTGATTCTCTGAAGCCAGGAAGGAGTTTCCAGTCTTTCTGTTGGAGTTAAGATCAACAGAGGATCTGTCCCAACTTTGACCAAGCTGGCGTTTCTATGATTATTGGTCAGATGAAAGAAATGGAAGAATTGTTGGATTATTTTCAGCTATGTCTACACTGGTGGCTTCTTGCGCAAGAACTTGCCAGGTGTCCACACTGCACGCGCGTTCTTGCACAAGTAAATTTACAGTCTAGCATTGGAAAACAGGGCTTCTTCCGGAAGAGTTATTCCTCTCCCCACGAGGAATAAGCCCTCTTGCACAAGAGGGCAGCGTAGACAGGCAACATGAATTTCTTGCGCAAGAAACCCCTAGGGCTAAAATGGCCATCAGAGCTTTCTTGCGCAAGAGAGCGTCTACACTGCCATAGACACTCTTGCACAAAAGCACATGCCAGTGTAGACGCGCTCTTGTGGAAGACTTTTTCATAGAATCATAGGACTGGAAGGGACCTCAAGAGGTCATCGAGTCCAGCCCCCCACCCTCAAGGCAGGACCAAGCTCCGTCTACACCATCCTTGACAGATGTCTATCTAACCTGTTCTTAAATATCTCCAGAGAGGGAGATTCCACCACCTCCCTTGGCAATTTATTCCAATATTTGACCACCCTGACAGTTAGGAATTTTTTCCTAATGTCCAATCTAAACCTCCCCTGCTGCACTTTAAGCCCATTACTCCTTGTCCTGTCCTCAGAAACCAAGAGAAACAAATTTTCTCCTTCCTCCTTGTGACACCCTTTTAGATATTTGAAAACCACTATCATGTCCCCCCTTAATCTTCGTTTTTCCAAACTAAACAAGCCCAGTTCACGAAGCCTGGCTTCATAGGTCATGTTCTCTAAACCTTTAATCATTCTTGTCACTCTTCTCTGTACCCTTTCCAATTTCTCCACATCTTTCTTGAAATGTGGCGCCCAGAACTGGACACAGTACTCCAGCTGAGGCCTAACTAGTGCAGAGTAGAGCGGCAGAATGACTTCACGAGTTTTGCTTACAACACACCTGTTGATACAACCTAGAATCATATTTGCTTTTTTGGCAACAGCATCACACTGTTGACTCATATTCAACTTGTGGTCCACTATGACCCCTAGATCCCTTTCCGCCATGCTCCTTCCTAGACAGTCGCTTCCCATCTTGTATGTATGGAACTGATTGTTCCTTCCTAAGTGGAGCACTCTGCATTTCTCCTTATTAAACCTCATCCTGTTTACCTCTGACCATTTCTCTAACTTGCTAAGGTCATTTTGAATTATGTCCCTATCCTCCAAAGAAGTTGCAACCCCACCCAGTTTGGTATCATCTGCAAACTTAATAAGAGTACTCTCTATCCCAATATCTACATCATTGATGAAGATATTGAACAGTACGGGTCCCAAAACAGACCCTTGAGGAACTCCACTTGTTATCCCTTTCCAGCAGGATTTAGAACCGTTAACAACAACTCTCTGACTGTACAAGAAGCTGCCGGTGTAGACGTAGCCGTCCTTGTTTTAGTCCTTTGTGTACATATCTGTTCTGTTGCTATTGGTTTGTGACCATTCGCTGCTTCCCGTGGTTTCACAGCATCTCTGCCTGTTTAGGATTTATTATTTTGCATTGCAATGCTACCTAGCGGCTGCAGCTGAGCCCAGGGCCCTATTGGGAGGGTGTTGCACAACACAGCAAGGGTCAGTCCTGCCCTGAATTACTCCCAGTCTAGGTAGACCTGGCAGACAGAGGGTAGGTGGGACCACAACTTGTTCGTGGTGATGCAGCATGTGAACAGCAATGGTGGAAATCAAACTGAAATTCCCATTGCTCTATCCAGGAGGGCATTCAGATTCTCATTTAAAAAAATCACAGCCCCCGAGAGGCATTAGCACGGGTGTACTGATTATGTTCTAAATTGCATAAGCTACACCTAAACCCATTCTCCATCAATCCTTGTCTGTGTGTTATACAGTGGTGCCATGCACTGCCTTCCCTGCCTGGCGTTCAGTATGGGCAGGGGGATTCCAACATCTGGAGTGTGTAAAACACTCAAGGTTCTTTTGGGAGGAGGGCTGTATCAGCATGGGTTGTAACTAGGATGGACTGAATGTACAAGTGTTTAACTCCCTTCACTTGCTGGTTATGTAACCGTGTCTCCCTCTCCCCCGTGTTTTTTTGAGACCTTAGCGCTCCTTTTATTTGCACAGTGCTAGGTTCCTGTAAATCTGCTTCGGCAGAGATGTTTATGTATATCTCATCAAAGGGAACAGTCTGTCTCTCTCGCTCAGAAACAGTTATCAAGAGCTGTGGTTGCACTCATCCACCTTAGCCGTCCTGGCATGCACTGTTCGAAGATCCTGCTTAGGGTGGGCAGGAGGTTTTTCCCACCAGTCTTGGGCTCTGTTGGAAACATGCAGAAATCTTGAACTTCTTGGGACATTGGATCTTCACACTCTTCTGTAGTCTGCCACCGCTTTGCTTTCCCTTTTCTTTATTACACCTCTTCTTTCTTCATCTTTTCTGTATGTCTGAACCAATGCCTGCTGCAGCTTTGGGTCAGAACATGTGCTTGTGTGTGGATCTTCAGGGTGCCTTTAATTGAGGGTGAAGTTTGCAGCCCCCTTCATTGCCCCTTCACCTCTGAGATGGGCCCTGACTGCTGCTGGTGCTTTCCTTTGACACCAAATAAGCTCTCTCTTAAACACAGCCACCTTGCAGCTGCTCTGGAGAAAAAAGAGAGTTGCTTTTGGAACAGCAGAGTCTTTCTCTTTGGATATTTCTAATTCCATTGTTCAAACCCGGTTGTCACAGACACATTGTGATTTTTTTTTCCACTCCAAAAAGTAGCAATTAGGTCAAATCACAAAGGATGTTTTTAAGCCAATAACACACAGTATGCAGAGGCAAAATTAGAAAGGTGAAGGCACAAATGAGATGAAACTAGATAGAGACACAAAGTGTAACAAGAAAGGTTTCTCCAGACGCGCGAGAAGCAAGAGGAAGACCAAAGAGAGAGTAGGCCTGTTACTCAATGGAGGTGGGAGAACAATAACAGAAAATGTCAAAATGGCAGAAGTGCTAAATGACGTGGGGATTTTTGGTTTTCACCAAAAAGTTCTGTAGTGTTTGGGCATCTAACATCCCGAATGCCAGTGAAAACGAGGTAGGTTCAGTGGCTGAAATGGGGAACGTTACTTTGACGCAGCACTTCTCCCCTACAGAGGGCTATCCCAGGGATGCATTTGGGTTAATTGGGCCCCTTACGTGGTGCGTATTCCTGTTCCTATTTTTCTGAAGCCCAGCACATTAGCCCAAGATCACTCAGGGAACTTTGTGGCAGAGCCAGGAATAGGTCCCAGCCCCGTGTTTTAGCTACACAACCTCCCCTGCTTCTTCTGAGGGCCTTGGGTAGGAGATGTGGCAAAAATGCCAAGAACGAGTGTCACTTTGAGTTGGGTAAACTTTGAGGATTTGGTTTGGTTCCTTCTTGCAGCCTGAAGAACGACAAGCCAGTTGAATGTGGACGGTACGACGGCCTGGTAGAACTGGCTACTATCTGTGCCCTCTGCAATGACTCCTCTCTGGATTATAACGAGGTGAGCGTGCTGGATCCTTACCCTATTCACCAACTGCACAGAGGTATTTTAAGGAGGTTTCTGTGGTAGTAACTAAAGGCCCCCCCAGCCTGGCCCTACCCCCGGCCCCAGGCACAGGAGGAGACTTTATATAGTAATAGAGTCAAGTAGTTAGTTTTGTGTCTCTATCAGATTTGTGCCCATGCCACGACCTTATTTTGCATGCCTGGATTGGTGGGGGATGACCTTAGAGTGCCCTGCTCGGTTGTGTCAAATGTACATCGTGTTAGACCCAGCTGACACAGATAGATTCCTGTGCTTTTTGTTCCCTTAGCTTCTGGATAGACTTGTAGCCTTTTGCGTTTTGTAATGAAGATAGTAGCTGCGGTTGAATGGCACTGAACTACATGTGGGTGGGTTTTCAGGAGACGGGCCTTCCTTTTGCAAGCACAGGTTGCACCTGCGTTCATGGCATGCAAATCAGATGGCCAGAGGCACAGATGCAGTGCGGAGGTTTGCACACTCCGCCCCTGCAATGGACTTGTGGGAACACACAGGCACAAACTGGAAGCTGGGCCTGAAAGTATTCCCCAGAGCTGTGTGCATCATCCTTACAGGGAGATGGTTACACAAACCCAAAACAGGATTACTCTGAGCTTGAGCAGCAAGTCAGCTTGTATTATAATCTTCAGCCTTGAATGCCCAGTCTGTGGCCTCCCCACAGCACCCTAGAAGGAGAGCGATGCTTTTGGAATCTCAAGCACAGTGCAGTAAATAAAACCATCCTAGATTTAGTCATGCAGGTTAAGAGACTGAGGTCACACCGCTCATGTTTTTCTTTTACACTGAATGTTTTTGTTCCTTTCTTCCTGCTGGCCAGTCCAAAAAAGCATATGAGAAGGTGGGAGAAGCAACCGAAACAGCCCTGACCTGCCTGGTAGAAAAGATGAATGTCTTCAACACCGATACAAGCAATCTCTCGAAGGTGGAGAGAGCCAATGCCTGCAACTCTGTGAGTAGAATGAAAGGACAAAACTTGTGTGGTCCCCTTCACCCAGGAGTGAGGGAAGGGGCAGAGGGAGGTTGCATGGTGCTTTGCACAAGAATTCTTCCCAAGTTCCTAGGAAAGGAGGCGATGAGGTTGGAATGAACCAAACCATATCAGATTCTCCACCCCTTGAGCTCTCAAAGGAGGGAGGATAACTGCATCTTAAGACAACATCTCACCACCCAAGTCAGGTTTCCAGAAGTGACTCGTGATTGGAGATTCTGTAAAGCAGGGGTGGGGAGCCTTTTTTTTAGGAGGGGAGGTCGGGGGCCGATGACCCAGAGAAAAAACAGTGGGGGGGCCGCACACAAGTGAGAAGCAAAAAACCCCCCCAAGCCCCTCACTGACATAAAAAAAATTCCTCCCATTCCCCTCGTTAATCAGCGCCTAGGGGGCCCAGGTTAGTAGCTTTCCTGTGCCCCAGCCCCATGGTAAGGTGGCAGGGGGCTGGAGTGTCAACGCAGGCTCCCCAATGCTGGGGTGGAGGGGGGGAGCCCTGAGCCTTGGGGGCTGGATCCAGGCAAGTTAGGGGTTGCATCCGGTCCCTGGGCCTGAGGTTCCCCACCCCTGCCGTAAAGGCACCCAGATTTCAGAACATGCTGAGCCCCCCCCCTCTGAAAACCAGACCCCTTTAAAGTGGTTCAAATTGGGCACCCAAAGCCACTAGTCTCGTCTGAAAATCTTGGCCTTTGTGTCACAGGGTAAGTCTGCAGAGCAAGAGCTGTGTACGTGCTTAGTTTACCTGAGCTAGCTTGAATCGAGGATAACAGCAGTAGTGGGGACAGCTGTAGGAGAAGCCCAGTTCGGACCCTGTGTACACAGTCAGTTCACTCGATCCAGAGCCTACGCTGCTTTCCCTGCTGTTTTGACCTTCGTCCGCTTGATTCAAAGTAGCTTGTGTAGGCTAGCCCAGGCACGGCATTTCCTGTATACAAACATCTTTGGGCTGCACAACAGGGCTGAGATTTGCAAAGCTAATGAATTGCAATGGGAACGGAGCATCCAGATCCCTTAGTCGGATGTGACTCTCAACAGCCTAGATGTTCACAGGCACCTGAACAGAGTGGTCCTCCAGACACGTTCTGTGGAGCTGGGCATGCCCGTCTACACCAGTGGGATGCACCGTACTACGGTAGACCTACCATGGACTCATGGGTTTGTCTGCCCCAGACTTTTGCAAAGAACAAAATCTCCCTTCGTCCCATGATGGAGCTGAACCATTGTAGCTATTGTGAGTGCACTGGTCTAGGCAGAGAACCGGCGACCTGCTGGTTTACTAGGTACAATGTCCGCATCTGTATCACCCCCATGGTGGGAGCACTGTCCATGCTAGCACTCCCATTGATGCTGTCTGTTGACGATGGAGCTGAACCGGTGGTACCATTGGTGGGTGACTTAGAGGAATGAATCGAGTGTAGACAAGGTTTCTGTGCCTTCAGAGGTGGTGGGAATGTCGTGACAAACCTGGAAAGCCCCTTGTGCCGCTGGCTTTCATTTAGCACAGTTGGACCAATTCCTGCTATACACCTGCAAGGTTTTTAGATAGGAGAGCGGGGTCTTGGGGCAGGAAAGTTGTCCCTCTTTACTTACTACTTTAGATTTGATCATAATCAATCACCATTATAAGTGCCCTGATGATCTGTCTTACAATTGCAAGCAATGAGTATCCAACAGAAAAAAAACAAATTTGTCGACCAACAATTCATCCAAGCCAAAAAACAAACAAAATCAAGTGAGCAAGACATTTACATCTCGTCATTTGCCTCCCAGAAATACACTTTCAGGATTCCCCAAAGCCCTGTCAGAGAGATGGCTTTTGGGGACATAAATTGGTGTTCTCCCAAGGCCAAACAGCTGCCAGATTTGTATGGCGTAATATTAACATGATCATGCAAGAGGAAGTGGTCATAAATCTTTGAACCTCAGAGAGAAGTGGCCTAGCGAGGCCCAGCACCTCTCTTGCTAGAATCTCAGCTGTGTATCTTCTTAAAGTAGCAAACGCAATAAGATTGTTCTACGGCCTAAATGTGAAGAAAGCACGTGTGTAAATTTGCTTTAAATAAATACAATTTTGCTTTAAAAGTGTGCATATATGTAAAATAACATCACTAAAATACAAAGCCACAATACACGAAAGGCAAGACCACCTTACAAACACAGCCTGTGTGCATACAATGGCATGAACAGACGCTAATGCTGCATATCTTTGTTCTTCCATTCTGAAACTTGAAAGAAAAATAACATGCAAGATGCTTTTTGTGCACCTGAATTTTTATACTAGCGAGCCATATATACTGCCTGTCAAGACTCGCTGTGCTGCAAAATCTGTCCCCAAAAGAGCGAACTAAAAAATGCAGAGCTCAAAGCAGCCACAGAAATGTAAGTTGGTATATGAAAGGAGAAGAAAAACAGTCAATTTGGCAAGGGCCTGATCCAGATCTTTAGACGTAAATGGGAGCTTTCTTGATGTCTTCAGTGGGCTTTGGCTCAGGCTTGATCTTTATCATGAGGCTAACCTGGAGGAGAAAGCTATGTATTTCCCTCTCTCTATATTACAGAAGTTGAAAACGAATTAGGCTTTTGGGGGAAGATGTAAATGCCGCTCTCTTCTCTCTTCTTTCCCACTCCCTCCCAAAAAAAGCCCAGTCTTAGAACTGTGTGACCTTAAGCCCCGAACTTAAAGTGACTGATTTGGCCTCAGGAGTCATAGGCCTACACAACCAGATCCTAAGTGTGCAGCCAACAGCACTAATGTATAAGAACTGATGAGCTTATTTATCCCATAGCATGCCTGCTTTTGTGTGTGGAAACAGCTTCTATCGCTGCGGTAATGGAAGAGGAAACACTGAGCTTTTCTGATGACAGTGTCTGGTTTCAAATGAAAATGCTTTTGTTCCAGTTGATCATTACCCCCTTGTATGAAAATGTGGAGTGCCCTGCTTTTCTAGGGGTGGACTAGGTCTATCCCAGGACAAAGTGGCTGTAAAAGAAGAGTTGGGTCCCTCCATTTCACTTCCTAATATTGTGTGAATTCATGGTGCCCCTTGGGCTAGGAGTGAGAGAGGAAAGGAGGCTGAACCACGTCCATGCAGTTGAACTTGCAGGTGGCTAACTTGCTGTGGCAAAGCTGTGGGACTGAAAGCCCCTGCTGATGCTTTTCCTGTCATTGCTTAAATGGCAGAATCCCGCGCTGACGCATCTGTGCTTTTATTTTAGACTTGCGCTGTGTGTTGATTCATTGGGCCCGTTAGATGCAATTAAGTAGGGCCTGGCCTTTGCCTGCATTTGCCAGAGCTAATTGCACCCTGCCCGTCTGTCTCACCACAGGTGATCAAGCAGCTGATGAAGAAAGAGTGCACCCTGGAGTTCTCCCGCGACCGCAAGTCCATGTCCGTCTATTGCACTCCCAAGATGTTTGTCAAGGTAATGGATGCATGCTGCAGTGCCTGGGGCTGGGGCTGGGGGCCTACTGGGGAGGGGGAGGGGTGTTGAGTGAGGGTTGAGGGAGCCAGTGTATCCCTGGGATGCTGCAGTTCCCGATCAAGGGGCTATGTAATGTGAATAGCTTCCCATGGGCACCAGGCCAAGATTTGGCTTTTGGATGGAAAGCTGGCATCATCCTCTTTATGGAAGAGGATGGATTTCCAATCCCTAGAATGCTGGCACTTCCTAGCTGGCTGCTCGGCTAGAAGCTGGGGGTATGTTCGGCCTCCAAAGGGAGTTCGGATAGCATTGTGGGCTTCAAGATGTCCTGGATAATAGATCTCCTGAAAGTGCAGGGGAGTTGGATTGCTTAAGAGCGAGAGACAGCTTGGAAAGCTTTAGTTTGGTGCAGGAAAACAGATGCACTTCTCTCATGGTGGCTCGTGATCAGTTATCCAGCATTTTGGGTTATCCAAGTTGTCCCCCCACACACACTCTGTTCCCAGCCTTATGGTAAAGCACATGTCACCTCTCAGCTATTTTCCTAGTGGCCTGGAGGGATTTCAGTTAGTGGATAAGATGATATGGTCAGGAGGGAGAGATAATTGGCTCATTGAAGCAGTAATACAGCTGAAGTTTTGGGGTTGCTTGTTACAAGTGTCTTCACTATCAAGCTTGTGAGGAATTAGTGAGGGCGCCTTGTGACGTTCCTGGCAATGCTTAAAAGGAGACAGAGTCTGAGGTGGGATTTCCAGAACTGCTTGTGCTCCTAAGTCAGTTAGGTCCTTGTGAACATCCTCCCTTGCTTTCTAGGGCTATGTCTAGATTACATGCCTCTGGCGACAGAGGCATGTAAAATAGGCTACCCGACATAGTCAATGAATGCCTCATGAAATGAGGTTTACAGGATTGGTCAGTAACGGCTTTCCTCGTCGATCGATCTGCATCTTGGCTGCCCCGTTGTGCCAACAATCAGCTGAGCCAGCACAGCATGGCGGCTATTTTTATTTTAATGAAGCCGGGGATATTGAAATCCCCGCTTCATTGACTATGATGGGTAGTCTAATTTACATGCCTCTGGCAACAGAGGCATGTAGTCTAAACGTACCCTAGGTGTCCAGTAAAGGGTACACATTATTTATAACAACAGTGGCCTCTCAATCAAACCCTGTTGACTTGGCCTTCATCCAAATCTGAGTTCAGCATCAGGTACCAGGTCAGCTAAGTCAGGGAAAGCAGGGGATTGAGGGGAAGTGTGTGCAGCAAGCAGCAGCAGCCAGGGTCAACCCATCTTCAAAAAAGGGAAGAAGGACGATCCAGGGAACTATAGGCTGGTCAGTCTTACCTCGGTTCCTGGAAAAATCATGGAAGGGATCCTTAAGGAATCCATTTTGAGGCACTTGGAAGAGAGGAAAGTGATTAGGAATAGTCAGCATGGATTCGCAAAGGGCAAGTCGTGCCTGACCAATCTGATTAGCTTCTATGATGAGGTAACTGGCTCTGTGGACGTGGGAAAGTCAGTGCATGTGATATACCTTAACTTTAGCAAGGCTTTTGATACTGTCTCACAGAATCTTCTTGCCAGCAAGTTAAGGGATTGTGGATTGGATAAATGGACGGTAAGATGGATAGAAAGATGGATAGAAAGCCGGGCCCAGCAGGTAGTGATCAATGGCTCGATGTCAGGATGGTGGTCGGTTTCTAGCGAAGTGCCCCAAGGTTCGGTTCTAGGACCGGTTTTGTTCAATATCTTTATTAATGACCTGGATGAGGGGATGGATTGCACGCTCAGCAAGTTTGTGGATGACACTAAGCTGGGGGAGAGGTAGATACACTTGAGGGCAGAGATAGGATCCAGAGTGACTTAGACAAATTGAAGGATTGGGCCACAAGAAATCTGCTGAGGTTCAACAAGGACAAGTGTAGAGTCCTGCACTTGGGACGGAAGAATCCCAAGCATAGTTACAAGCTGGGGACCAACCAGTTAAGTAGTAGTTCTGCAGAAAAGGACCTGGGGGTTACAGTGGATGAGAAGCTAGATATGAGTCAACAGTGTGCCCTTGTAGCCAAGAAGGCTAATGGCATTTTAGGTTACAATAAGAGGAGCATTGCCAGCAGATCCAGAGATGTCATCATTCCCCTTCATTCGGCTTTGGTAAGGCCACATCTGGAGTATTGTGTCCAGTTCTGGGCCCCCCACTACAAAAAGGATGTGGACACATTGGAGAGGGTCCAGTGGAGGGCAACCAAAATGACTAGGGGGCTGGAGCATATGACTTATGAGGAGAGGCTGAGGGA